AAATAAATAAATAAAAACTTTCAAAAAAAAAAAATCATCCTTTGGAAGATTCTTGGGATCATGAAAAATCCCATTTGCCTGTTGACTGGTAAGATAAGCTGTTCTTTATATTATTAGAAAGGTGAGAACAGCTACTCCCTGAGATGTCTTCCCAGTCATTTGCATCACAGGAATTGTCCTGCCATGGTGGCTGAGAGGAGTTGGTGCAGGTTTGAACATCCTCATGATAGGTGAGGGTTAGAAATTGGAGAACGCAGTCATATGTAGGTCAGGAAACAAGAGTATCTAGATATAAAAGAAACTTTAAAGGGCAGCACATGGCCTGGGTTGATCACTGGGTATAGTTCAGGCCCCACCTATCCAACCATTCAGTTTGCCCCTCCCCACAGTCAGTCACTTGTTTGGGATGTGTGATATGTTGTCTCCTCCTAGGGGTGGCTGGAGTTCATGCAGCTTGGAAAAGGTGAAAATCCTACCTTCCTCCCTGCTATTGATTATAGCCTGTCTTCATAAACAGAATGACCTGTTCCCTACCCGGAAAAGCACCCTTCTGCTGTTCAGGCCTGAGTCAGAGAGAGCCCCACCCAAGCAACAGACAGACAGGGGGAGCTGAGAGCAGGTGCAGAGTTGAGAACAAACAGGGGTTCACATTAGTGCAGGCGCATGACTCGGCAGAGATTCACAGGCAGGCGTGGCCCTGAGCCTGCGGCAAATTGTTTTGGGCTATTTCCCATTACACTCTGCAGTTAGGTAACTCTTCACCAACTTGTAAGTCGTGGAAACCACACCCCTAAATGCCATATCTAGGGACCTGTTTCCTGGGCAGGTGATCCTGACCAGCCACAGGGCCACCTTTTTCTTTTTGGCTAGGGCTTTGGGAACTGTGCTCCCTTGTTAGTATGGTTTGAAATGAAATCTCATCCTATCAGAACTTCTCTACAGGGGCGCCTGGGTGGCTCAGTTGGTTAAGTGTCTGCCTTCAGCTCAGGTCATGATCTCAGGGTCCTGGGATCAAGCCCCACATGGGGCTCCCTGCTCAGCGGGGGAATCTGATTCTCCCTCTCCCTTTGCCTCTGTTCGTGTGCTCTCTTTCTCTCTCTCTCTCTCTCTCTCACTCACTCTCTCACTCACTCTCTCTCTCTCTCAAATAAATAAAATTTAAAAAAAAGAACTTCCCTCCATAAAATAAGCCAAAGGATGGATATATGTGTGTGATCTTCTTTAGGCCACCTGCTTTTCCAGGTGTCCCCTTAGCTTGATGGGTTTTACCAAAAGATCATTATGGAAGAAGCCTATACTTGATGCATATAAACCTTTTTCTGTGGATTTACTAGCCTCATCTTTGCTTTCTAATTCAAGAAAGATTACCACCCTCCTCACATTACTACTTCATGATTAATCCTGTATCAGCTCTTTATCCCAATTATAAGAACTTGTAATGGGCTCCAATAGAGTATTTCTCTTTGTACTGCCTAGATGCTGTTTTGTTTTAGTCCCCTCCCCCCCCCGGTTATTAATGTTAAACATGCTCATTATTTTTAAATTTTAAAACTTATAGAAATATAGAATGTTAGAAGTAAAGCCCTCCCTGAAAGTATTCTGCCTTTCTTGAAAGGAACCCTGTTACCAGTTTGATGATGTTCCTCCAGGTATTTTCCTATACTTATTCTAACACGGGAACTGACCATTCCAAATGTGGTCAGCATGCTTTTTCACTTAATTGTATACCTTGGACAGCATTCCATTAAAACACCTGTTTTTAATAGCTTCATGAATGGCATGTAGGTATATGGACTGTAATTTAAATAAATCCTCTTTTTTTTTTTTTTTGGTGTCTGATCCTTTAGTACCGCTGTATTATATAATAAACATCCTTATATCTATATCTTTGTGTACTTATAGTAGTATTTCTCTAGAAGAATTGCTGGTTTAAGGGTTAAATTTTGAGAGCTGTTGTCAGATTTCACTCAGAATTTCTACAGTTCAGGGGCGCCTGAGTGGCTCAGTCAGTTAAGCATCTGCCTTCGGCTCAGGTCATGATCCCAGGGTCTGGGATGGAGCCCCACATCGGGCTCCCTGCTCAGTGGGGAGCCTGCTTCTCCCTCTCTCCCCTGCCCGTGCTCTATCTCTCACTCTCTCTCTCTCAAATAAATGAATAAAATCTTTAAAAAAAAAAAAAAGAATTTCTACAATTCACATTCCTACCAACTATATATGAGAGGATTTGTTTGGCCATGCCATCATCAACACTAGCTGCTAGCAACCATTTTAAGCCTTGTCAGTCTGATGGGTAGAAAAATCAGATCTCATATTCGTTTTTATTATTGTTGTTTTGCTTTGTTTTTGTTTTCTGCTATTAAATTGAGCATCTTTTTTTTTTTTAAGATTTTATTTATTTATTTGACAGAGAGAGACACAGCGAGAGAGGGAACGCAAGCAGGGGAAGTGGGAGAGGGAGAAGCAGGCTTCCCGCGGAGCAGGGAGCCCGATGTGGGGCTCCATCCCAGGACCCTGGGATCATGACCTGAGCTGAAGGCAGACGCTTAAAGACTAAGCCACCCAGGTGCCCCTAAATTGAGCATCTTTACAAATGTTTATTGCCTACCTCTTCCATTGGCTATTAACAAAGCATTTGCAGGTTAATATTTAAATTTATCTGGGAGCAGTTTCCTGGGAGGGTGTTGATTGATTTCACAAACCAGAGTAAGGCATTTCCTGTGTATGTCCTCCACAGCAAACAGCGGCATAACAAGCTCTGGAGATCTCACTCAGATAGCGACCTCTCCGACCACCATGAACCCATCTGCAAACCAGGGCTAGAACTCAACAAGAAGGAGATCACCACCTCAGCAGACCAGATTGCCGAGGTGAAGACCATGGAGAATCACCCACCCATACCTCCTGTCTTTGTGGAACATGTCGTCCCACAAGAAGAAAATCAGAAGGGCCTGTGTACCAAAGAAAGAATGATTTGCTTGGAGTTTACTTCAAGGGAATTTCATGCAGGACAGATTGAAGATGAATTAAATCTAAATGACATCAATGGATGCTCATCAGGGTGTTGTCTCAATGAATCAAAATTCCCTCTTGACAACTGCCATGCATCCAAAGCCTTAATCCAACCTGGACAGGCCCCAGAAATTGCCAACAAGTTCCCAGACTTAACAGTGGAAGATTTGGAGACAGATGCTCTGAAAGCAGATGTGAACGTCCACTTACTGCCTTTGGAAGAATTAACATCTCGCCTGAAAGACATTCCCATGTCCCCTGATCCTGAATCACCGAGCCCCCAACCTAGTTGTCAGGCTGAAGTCTCAGATTTCAGTACAGATCGCATTGATTTTTTTAGCGCCCTAGAAAAGTTTGTAGAGCTTTCCCAAGAAACCCGGTCCCGATCTTTTTCCCACTCAAGGATGGAAGAACTGGGTGGAGGAAGGAGTGAGAGCTGTCGACTCTCAGTGGTAGAAGTAGCCCCTTCCGAAGGGACCGCTGATGACCAGAGAAGCAGCTCTTTGAGTAATACTCCCCATGCATCTGAAGAATCTTCAATAGATGAGGAACAGTCAAAGGTAAAAAGTATCTTTATAGTAAGTAGTTCTCTACCTAATGAAGTTCTTTTGGAAGACAAAATATTTGGGATTCTGCTGTGTTTGTTTTATTTTTAATGTTGCTAAAGATTTAGGAAGGCAGTATGGGAGAGACAGTGTGGCTGAGACTTTCCTTAAAAACTTAAGGTTTAAAAATTTTTTAAATCCATTGCCTTTTGAGGAATTTATCTTTCCAAGCTTTTGGTGTCTTTGGAAGCACTTTGGAGAGGGGATGGGGGTGGGGGTAGCCAAGACAAATGTCCTGCCTGGACAAGGAGAGGTCCCCTCCCTGGACCTCTGCAGTTCAAGTCAGATCTCACCAATAATGAAGTGCCTGGGACTGACATGCTGCCTGAGTAAGACCTGTGTCTCTCTGAGGAGATGGATTTGTTTGGGAAACACTGTCTCAGAAAATTCAAAGACTAGACATGTGTAAATAGTTGTTAGAGTAGCAACGCATGCTGAATTCTTGCTATTAATAATGTTTCTTGATTGGTCCTCATCTCAGACCCTGTGGTATCCAAGATTTGAGGGATAGTTTTGGGAAATGATTGAGAACAGACAGACTCTGAAGATTCTTCTCTGTGGCATATGAGCTCATAGGAGCCATTTCAGACCAGGGAAAGAACTACTGTGTATCAATTCTAAGACTCACTCTTATTCTCATTTTGACACTTCTGAAATTGGGATGCATCTTAAAAACAATGGTATCTTAGATCAGTATAATAAAGTAGTTGTGAAGTAAATGGTGACAGATTTACTCTCAAATACCAAAATTCACTTAATGATTTCAGTGGAGGTAACTACATTTTTGACATCTCCTGATAGCTGTCTACTTATATTTATCACCTTGTCCATGACTTATCTTTTCTGTCTCTTTACCCCAGGGAAGTCATTGCCTCTGCTTCTGTCTTCTCTCCCCAGAGGTTATGCCTCTGCTTCATTTTTACTGGGAAATGAGAATGCTTGAGCTCTCCTTTGGACCAGTAGGCATAGCAGCTCTGACAGAAATAGCTTTTCTGCAAAGTCCCTCGTCATATGAGCACTCTCTCCACAGCCTATGCACACACTGGGCCTGCTGTGGCTTCTCTCCCAGTCTTGGCTAGTTTACCTCTGCCTAATATCCCAGCAGATTTCTCCCAAAGGTGTAACTGACCTTGTTGGTTTGTACTAGTTCTGACTTTCTTTTGAAGGAGAAAGATCAGAACAATTCCTAGGGAAATATTATACTTTAAAGGCTTATAAAAATGTTAAAGTAGGGGCACCTGGATGGCTCAGTCGGTTAAGCATCTGCCTTAGGCTCAGGTCATGATCTCATGGTCCTGGGATCCAGCCCCACATCGGGCTCCCTCTCTCTCCCTCTGCCCCTCCCCTCTCCTCATGTTCTCTCTCTCAAAATAAATAAAATATAAATAAATAAATAAAATATTAAAGCAGATTGATGGTTGTTACGATGCCACTTTCAGAGATATCCAACAGTCATTTTCAGCTTTTGGAATTCATTTTTTTTTTAACAAGAGGACTTGATTTTATATTGGCTAATTTTCTTTTGCCTCGATCTAAATCCATCCAAATTTATAACTGGTAGAACAGTAATATATCAGAGAGTCACAGTTTCTAAGTTTGCTTAGGCATGTGGCTCCATAAGCCAAGTAGACCTTTCCCAGAGGAGCCATGCAAAACTTGGAAATTGTGTGACCAGGTACAGAGTGCCCTCACATGCTGGAATGCTACTGCCAAGAGATGCCAAGAGTGGAAGGGTAAGGATGAAAGCTGGCAGGACAGAGGAGAGAAGAGAGCAGTGAGTCTCCAAATCAGACATCAGATGATAACCTCATTCATCTTGCCCTAACACTGGGCATATTTAAGGTGGTCACTGAGCCCTTGAATGGAACTCTTCCCCTTGAACTAGGTTAGAATCAGACTGAAAGTTGATAGGCCAGAGACGAAAAATCTCATCTATCCCAGTATGACCTAAATCCTGAAGGCTAATGGTCTTAGGAAAGTAAGGATTGGGGCACCTGGGTGTCTCAGTCGGTTGGGCGTCTGCCTTCGGCTCAGGTCATGATCCCAGGGTCCTGGGATCGAGCCCCGCATCAGGCTCCTTGCTCAGCGAGAAGTCTGCTTCTCCCTCTGCCCTTCCCCCTCCCCCTTCTCCTGTGCTTGCTCGCTCTATCTCTCTCTCTCTCTCTCTCTCAAATTCTTCAAAAAAAAAAAAAAAAGTAAGGATTATAGGAACCTCTAAGGCTAACCGCTATTCCTTTTTGAAGCAAGATACTGGGTTGGAATTCTGTTTAAATAAACAGAATAAAAGTTTAGTAGACAGTGATACAAGCTGTAACAAATTTTGTATCTCTTCATTTGATGAATCTGTTTTTTTAGCTTGTATGACAAAACAGTTGGCCAGAGGACAGTCCCAGGCAGAGGACAGTCCCAGGCACTCCGTGATTTGTGTCCTCATAGCTGGAAGGTTCTCCTGGATTAGAGGATTACTAAGAAAAATATCTGGCATTTTTAATTAGACTATGATTTGCCATAACCATCTCACTGTTTTCTCCCTAGGCAATCTCAGAACTGGTCAGCCCAGACATCTTCATGCAATCTCACTCAGAAAATGCAATTTCAGTCAAAGAAATCATTACTGAGATTGAATCCATCAGTCAAGGAGTCGGACAGATTCAACTGAAAGGAGACATCTTATCTAACCCATGTCATACACCAAAGAAGCACACCATCCATGAGCTGCCCCTTGAGAGGGCTCAGGCCCTGGAGAACAAACCTGGAAATCTGGAGCAGAATGAGGGTTCCTTCACAGCCCAGCCTGAACTAGCCAAAGACTCAGGGAAGTGGGACCTAGAAGGCTGCTTAACTATACACTCATCCACCACAGAGTTGGAAGAAGAGGAACCAGCTGAGGAGGAACAAGAGCTCTGGGGCCCAGGAATGCCTCCAGGTGCCAAGTGGTACCCTGGGTCTGTGAGGCGAGCTACCTTGGAGTTTGAAGAGCGCTTGCGACAGGAGCAAGAGCACCATGGTGCTGCCCCTGGTTGTACCTCATTGTCCATTCGCAAGAATTCCAAGAATGATTCTGCTGTGGCAGACCTAGCACCAAAAGGAAAGAGTGATGAAGCTACCCTTGAACATTCTTTTGTCCCTAAGGAAACAGAGATTAGCAAGGGCAAAGGGAGGGGCAGTGGGTCCAAAGCTGGCTCCCTACCCCATTCTGAGCAAGATGCCATTGTTCCAGCACCTGAGCTGCTGGAGTTTCAGGAGCGCCCAGGGTCAGATACTAGTACAAAGCAGGGAGGAGTCCTGAAGGAGCAGAGGACTGTGGTTTCATGCCAGGGATCTGAGACACAGGCAGTCGCTCTTTCCCTTCCCAAAAAGGTGGAAATCATTGAGTATACCCACACAGTTACATCCCCCGATCACCCTGGGCCAGGGAGTGGAAGAGCCACCAGCAAAAAGAGTGGGGAGCAAGGACTGAGGAAAGTGAAAGTGGAGGACTCCATCACCATCCTCTGTGCACTGGATGAAAATCTGAACAGGACTCTGGGCCCCGCCCAGGCTCACCCCAACGTGCTACCTCTGCCTCATTCTTCCCCTCCTGAGCACGACGGTCCCACCGACCTGACCTCCACCCTGAGCAGCCCTGAAGCCTGGGACGACAGCCTCTTGACAGCCCCGGAGACAGGAGGGCCTTTTGTCAGTCACCCAACCCACGTCCCATCTGCCAGCTTGGATTCAGCACATCCGCAGACTGTAGTTCACCTGGAAGGCTTCACAGAGCAAAGCAGCACCACAGACAATGAGGCCTCTTCAGAGCGGGGGAGCTGGGAAGAAAGTCAGGAGGGCCCCTTTTCCAGTGGCAGTGAAGTACTGTCCAAGGACCCCCAGTTAACTAGTGAAGGCCTAAGCCAACTCAGTGACAATATTGGGGAGTTACAAGAAACACTGGACCCATTACCTGTAGCCTGTCACCTCCCACATAGCTCTAGTAGTGACAGTATAAAGGGTCTCAGCCACAGCCCCAGCGTGGCGAAGGAGCGCACTAAAGAAATCGAGTCCCGAGCGATTTGCCAGGGAGGGCTCACCAAACCATGCCAAATGAGGCATTCTGCTGCGCTCACCAAGTTAGGTTACTTGGACCTCTGTAAAGACTGTTTATCGGAGAGAGAGCCTGTCTCCTCTGATACCCCTCATCTCAAACTGCTTCAGCCCTTCATCAGAACAGACTCAGGCATGCATGCCATGGAGGCCCAGGAGCCCTCAGAAAACCCAGATGCCCCCCAGAACCTAGAGCCCACCAAGTATTTTATAGAGCAACTCAAAACAACAGAGTGTATCGTGCAGAGCAAGCCAGTGGAGAAGCCCATCGTACAGTATGCCAAAGAATTTGGTTACAGTCAGCAGTGTTTGCTCCCCAGGGCAGGACCCGAATTGACTAATTCTGAAGGAGGCCTTCCTTTGCCACAACCCCAGGGGCTGCAGTGTGCAGGCCCAGCTCCAGGGCTGGCTATGACGCCCCGTCAGCAGCACGGCAGAACTCACCCCCTTAGGAGACTGAAAAAAGCAAATGATAAAAAACGGACAACCAACCCCTTCTATAATACCATGTGATTCTGAGCCTACACATGTGACTTTCTGAAAGAGATGTTTGTAAAAGGGGCAGGTGTAATATGTAAGGAACATGCACTTTATTGGTTAATTTTATAATATTTTGGTCATTTTACTGTTCCTGGCGCATGCAGGGTTTGGGGTTTTTTTTTCTCTGTGTATGTGTGTGAGAGAGAGAGATTGATTTGGACAGCAAGACCATTTTAGCATTTTTTATTTTTAGAAAATTCAAACCTCAAAAAATACTCATTTTCAAAGAGCACCTTTATCAAAGGCAAATTGCTGTTTTTCAATCAGCTCCCACCTGCTCCTCATTTGCCCTTTGAGAAAAAGGCTGGAAATCGGAAATGCCCCCCGGGCCTGTGTGGTGATGGTTTGGGCTTCAGACCTGATGCATGGGATGGGGCTGAAGGACAGCCGCAAGTCTGCGTGCTCTCAGCCTTGGGCCCTGGCCCACTGAGAGTTCCCAAAGTGGGCAGGTTCTGCTTTGCTTTCAAAGGGGGGTCTTCCAGAAGCCAATTCTTCTGCATTCCTGAGTCCTGAGTCTGTCATTATCAAAAGGCATGATACTGGCTGGCTTTGTAAATTTATCAAGCAGATAGTTTCCCCCCCTCCAAGCACATAATTTTTAAATTAAAACCAAACCCCAAATGAAATCTTAAGAGATCTGTGTAGAGGAAAGCATATGAGGAAGAGGAGGCAAAGTCTGCAGAGGCTGTGGCCCAGTATCTTCCGGGTCAGTGGGCTCCACATAGCCGGTCATCCTGGCCCTCCCTGCCAGGAAGTGGGTTCTGCAACATCCTTTCAACTAAAACAATAGGGACAAGTTTGAAAAACAGCAATTGAAAGTCAGTGTGTTCTTGTAAAATGAATACGTACGTAGGGTTTTAACACTTCCATTACTTGAATAATTCTGTGGGCCTTCTGAGTTTAATGGCCGTATTTTTTTCCTATTTACTTTCCTCCCTCATGCTGTTGCTCCCAGTGCTGCCCTTTTTTTAAATTTCATAGATGATATTTGAACTGTTACATTACTTATGTATAACCTCCGTTGAATGCAAAGTTTTCTTACCAATGTTAACACTTGACATGGGATTTTTTTTCTGTTCCTGGAAGATTTGTCATTTCTCGAGTTTATACACAGTATTTATGTACATAATGTCACTTTCTTACAGTGTTTTGTTGATGTCGTCGTAGGATCTTTTTGATTTAATCTTTTTAAGAAGGAGTAAAGCTGCAACTGGAGAAAACACACAGACACCACAGAAATAAAACTGATAGGTGCTGGTAGGAATCTGCAGAGTATATTGATGGTAGTTTTAATTGTTTAAATGGAGACTTCTGATCGCCAGCCCCTGCCAAAGTATGTGTTAGTAACTTCTTCCTCAGAGAAACCCCTAAAGGCTCCCATTAGATCACAGTTAGACTGAAAGCTGATTTCTCTTTGAGACTGAAATCCCAGAGCGGATTGTTTGCCAGGAGCTGAACCACAGCCAGGGAGTATATGTGAGTGTGACTGCTGCCCCGGGGGGAAGCTTCTCATGGATTGGGCTGAAGCGTTCATCAGTAGGAAGGCCCCCGCCAAGGGCAGGCACCCATTGTGACTCCATTTAGGATGCTTTGGCTTTGCTGCTATTATGGAGATCCTTAACACGGGAGCGCTTGCCATAAAAAGCCTATTTGGGCTTCTTACAGAAAACGTTTAGCCTGGAATGAGATACCTTCTGCAGCTCATCAAAACTGAGGAGATTTGCACATTTGCTTCCTGTTTGCTTTGGTTGATGTCCACGTTGCTGAGAGATTGACCAAGTACAGACTTGGGCTTTGGTTTTTGGCTCATCACGGACGGCACTGAGAGGAAAAGACAGATGCCCAGTGCAGACTGTCAGAGGGATGTCAGAGGCCAGAGTTTGGTAGGTGCAGATAGTGGGGTGACCTCCAGGAGAGAGAAAAGGTGGACTGAAGCCATTCATAGGTGCTCCAGGGGAGCTGTGAATCCAGTTGCTGTGCAGGAGGTGGATTGGACAGAAACCTCCTGCTCTAAGTGTCTTTTATGATATAGTAATTATATGTACCTGTGTAGTCCTTAAACAGTTTCCTTAAATGTTCAAATGTATCCTCCACACGGCTTTGTGGTTCCTGGATGTTTAATGTGTTGTAAAGTGTTTCTGTTAGGTGGTGTGTACCAGTGTGAGGAGGCTTGCAAGACAGGGTTATGAATTTCCAGGGCTCATCCATCTAAACAGCCCTGTTGAGGCAGTTCCGCCACCACCAGTATGATAGGGAAAGGACAGGAAGTTGGGGCAGGGGCAGGGAGAGAAGGATTTGCACGGAGGTGAAGAGAGTGGTGTCCCCTCATTAATCCTTTGAGATGGTGACATCCCTCACATTGAGAAGTACAAGCAGGATCAACAGTATTGCACTGTTCTCTCTGCTCCCCTGCAACTGTGGTTACTGCTCACTATCCCTGCATTAAGTAACAACAGAGGTGGGGAGGAGATCCTCTAATGCTGTGAAGAAAACTTTTCTTTAAAGAAAAAGGAAATATTCTTGCTCTGTCTTCCTTTTTTTAAATGACATTCTTGGTTATCATGTAATTTACCTGCCTCAATAAACATCCTCCGTTTGGGGTTTGTAATTCAACCATGCCATGGGGTTTTGCCAGCCTCTCAAACCCCCACAACTGAGTGTTCTTGTGTTATTTGCATAGCTGAGCGATGTCCAGGGGAAGTACATGATGAGCCATCAAGGACTTCTCAGACTTTCTTGTCTTCAGACTTTTTGATAATCTCAGGTGGCCTATTTCCCTTTTCTGTTCATGGAAAACTCAGACCCAGAACAGCAGGTCTGGTAGGTTGACAGAAATGAGTAGGAAAAGTCTTGACCTCTTGTTCAGTGCCTCTCTTTATCCTTATTTTGAAAACCCCCATAGTCTGACTGTCAGTTACTCTGGAGGAGAGAGAGAAAGAAAGAGCGCGCGTGCGTGTGTGTGTGTGTGTGTGTGTGTGTGTGTGTGTGCGCGCGCATGCGCACACACCTGTGCAAAAATATTTTAAAAAGTAACATTTTGGTGCATGGGGTAGAAGCCCCAGGAGCACGCAACTTTTGAGCTGTAATCTGGAGGGTTACCAGTCAGTAGGAAGGAGAGAAACTTCAACCATTTCCTGATTTTAGAAACACTTAGGAGTAGTATATACTAGAGTAGACCTATAGTACTGTACTATAGTAATCTTCATCTCTCCTCATTTTGGTTGCCTTTCAGAGTCTTAATGTTTGGGATCATTCTTAGCACCCCAGTTTCTCCAGGCTCTTTATCTAGCATTTTCCTCGTTCTGTACCTTTATCCCAACTCTTTCTCATTTGGGAAACTACCAAGAGCTCCAAGGACAACCTGAGAATGACAGCCCAGGCTCTGAGGTCCCCTCTGGCTCAAGGGCCCCAGATAGATACTTTTGGATAGACCTGAAGTTTCTCAGACATAGCAGCTCATAAAAATCTTCACCTGTTCCATCTGAGGATTTCAGTTTTAAAGTGATCTAGGCATGTTTGGTAGAGATGTTTCTGTGGGAGTTTTTTTTCTTTTAAGAAAGAAAGCATTATGCAAAGAGGGTCACTTTTAAGGGCATTTAAAATTTTTTAAATAAAGCCATTCTTTGGCTCTTTTTGACAACTATTTGTGGATACTTTGTTTACATTGTAATAATTAAAACATGCATCCTCTTGACAGCCACTCAGTCCCCTCCTCCAGGCACCTGGCCCTGGCTGTCCTTTGGAGTCCTCACGCAGAGCAAGGCTGTGGTGGTCAGCCCTTACTCAAAGGGAGCTGGGGAGGACCTGGACCTGACTTCCATCTGTGTCCTGCACTCCCGTTCAACACTGTGTGTGGAAATAGCCCTTTCCTCAGTCAGTGATGGTGTGTCTTAACAGTGATGGTTATAACGGTGAATGGCTAGTGTCATTTTTGTCTAAAGTTTGTTTTGCTTTTTGATGGTAGATGAAATTTTAGCTCTTTCAGCACCAATCCAACTTGAAAGGTATCTTGGACTTTGTTTTCCCTTCCAGACTAAAAGATCAAGGCATGTATTAGGCATAAATGTATTTGCTGCCTCAACTCATCTGACACCCATATTAGGAAAAAGCCTGCCACCAAAGCAGGAAACTGCACACTCCTAACCCCTGTCCCAGGGCTTTGGGGTCCCTTGATGCCGCGGAGAGCTATTGCAAGGTGCTTGTGTACTTGTCCAGCCTGGAAGTGGAGGGTGACTGGGCCTGGCTCCTGCTATGAAAACAAAACCAGCCTCATTTTCTCAGTGCCCCAGAGATCTAGGACAGGATTTCTAAACTGGAATCATCCCGCATTGGCTGGAAGATGCCTCAGAGGGTATATGACCAGTGCTGCCATCTGGGTCCTCACAGCGACCCTGGTGGCAGCGTCATCTGTACACCCGCAGAGCTAATACCCAGGGCTTCATTCAAGCTGATGACCCAATCTGGAAACGGGAACTGGCCCTGAAATGATTCTCAGTCAACAGGCCCACAGCGAATTGTTTGGTTTTTGTGGGTTTGGTTTTGTTTTGTTTGGGTTTTGGTTTGCCTGGCATAGCTTAAGGTGCCTTTTTTTTTTTTTTCCTTTTCTTTCTACTTTATTTTGGAATATTTGTTCTGACTGTGAAAAACAAATGCAAACGACTCTCCCACTGACTGTTACCTTTGCCCCAGGCCAGTCCGAACTTTTATGCTCACATTTTAACAAATAAAGCAGGTGCTCCCTGGAATCTCTGGGACCTTTTTGAGGCATTTGAAGCAGAATATAAAGAGTGGTCTCATCTCCTTCCTTAATCTTCCTGGTGGTTGGGATGTTCCACTTGTATCATAGATTTTTTTTATTACTGATGTGCTCTGCTGTTTTTAAATGTGAACTTGTGCGCAAATGTGCAGATTCAATGTTCTTGTTACAGATTAAATAAATTTTTATTTTGAAGATGATACGCGTATTTCATCAAATGCAAAAAAAGGGGGGGGAGGTGGTGCTAGAGAAGTGGAGCGATTCGAAGAGAACACTGGTGAGCAGTAGGGCACATGGAGCAATTCTCCTTGATCTCCATCAGGCACGTCCTTAAGAGTTAGCTGAGCTCTGGGAAAAAAAAATACAACTTTCTACCTCCCACAAAATAAAGACTGGATAGAATCACCAAAGATTATTTCAGACTTTGTGGCTCCAATCAAGTGACCAAGCTGGGAACTTGCCTGGTCAAAGAAGTTCTTGCCAAAGCCACCACCTGAATGTTAGGAGAATGAATAAGCGAAGGGACCAAAATTCCTCTGCCGCGTGCAGTCCAGACTGCTCTGGGACACAGCTGCTGTGACCTGCCCCAGCAGGGGCTAGATTTCTTGAGCCGCTGATCTCTGGACATTAGTGAGATAGAGCTCACAAACTTTCAGCACAAGCCTCCTCAGCTCACTGAGTGATTTCTGAAAATGGGGCATGACTTTCTAAAGAAGTAAAAGCTTTTAACCATCTCCTGCCATTAGAAGAGAAGCACTGGATAATGGTTGAAGAAGGGAGATGGGGCCGACAGGCCATTCTCCAAAACGGGCTGGGCGTGGGGGGGAGCAGTTCTCCACTTCTCCCACTCCTCCATAGACCCATCATGAGCTGTGTAGTGTCACCATTCATCACACATACAAGGCATCACTATTATCTAGGGAAAGCTCAGTTTCCAAAGCGCTGACAAAACAACGTACTGACGTGTCTAGAGAAAATACTGCCTTGAACTAAAATTAAGTCGGCCCGCTGCATTCTGAATTGTCCAAATCAAGTAGGAGGAGCACAACACTGGTCTGGCTGGAGTGCCAGAGTGCATGATGGTGAAGGCAAGGTCATTTCCCAAAGTTTTCTAGGGGTGCCCGGAGTCACTGACCTGTCTAGATAAGCTCAGTCTTTATAGCCAAAGCAAATCATGTCTAAGTTGCCAGGCCACCTCTTCCAGAAAATGACTTTATGGAAGACGTAATCCATGCCCGTCTTCTACAGATTGTAGTTCAGAGCCCAGCTAAGAGTTCAAATGGTTAACCACACAGGAAAGCACCCTAGCCCAAGTGGCTTCTTCCCCTGATTAGTTCTTTATGCCTTGGCTCTGCCTGCCCACTCTCTGCCAAGCTTTGGCAGCCAGAAGAAAGCCCAGAGGGCAGACCTGAGAGGCATGCCTGGTCCAAGTGATACCTGTGAGTCCCTGCTTCTGTACCTGGAAAGCACCCTCTTTTCAGATGATAGAACTGAAGGCAGGATGGATTAAAGGATTCCTACTTCCTAGTCTCAGACTCTTGCCTCTAGAATGCAGTCCTCTTTAAAGAGGAGGAAAGGAAAGGGGAAAGAAAAGGTCATTTCAAGGTAGGAGGTGGCGTGTCAAATCCCTTGTCTGCCAACAGGTGGTGCAGAGTTGGAAAGAACCTGACCCAGCCCTCTTCATCGTACAGCTCAGAGAACTGCAAAACTGGGGTGATTGAGTCAGGGCCAGAACTCCAGTTTTCTAATTAGTCCAAGCATCCTTTCCTTTGTGCCACAAAAACTAACCCTCAGTATCAGCATTTATGAGATAAGGTGGCACTATTCTTCAAGAGGAAACAAAAATGCATGGTGCTGAATTGCATGGACCCAGATGCCGGACCACTGGATAAAAGTGGCAGTTCCACCAACTACCAGTTGAGTGATGGGTAAACTAATCTCTATGTGCCTTCGTTTCCTCACCTATAAAATAGGGATACTAAGAGTAGCTATCACAGAAGGCTGTTATCAGAATGAACTTAATATGTGTAAAGTCCTTAGACCAGTGTCTGGCACACAATAACTGTGACCTATTGTTATTAAAGAGCCACTGAACCACTCAGGTCTTTCCCTCCTAATCATGTGCCCGGAATCTTTAGGTAAAAGGGAGATTCATCTACCCTTATGGCCCTCCGTGTCATGAATTATTTCTGGAGCACCTGTAAGTTTCTGATTCTGTTCCCGTACAAGCCACTGGATACTTGGACTCTTCTTGAGAAGGAGCCTTGGGTGGGCCTTTGGGGTTCCCAACCACCTTCCCTCCTCTTAACCCCCAATGCTAATCTCTGTCCTCCAGAAGGTTGTTCCATTGATTCCCAGGTGTGCCCTGGAGAATAGGAGGTAATAACTGGCCTCATGCTGCCTCCAGGGCCTTATGATCCAACGCACAAAATCCAGGCAGTGGATGGGTGCTGGATGTACAGCAGCTTCAGGGACTAGTTGTTCTTCACTGGCTATATTTTGATCAGGTTTGTTTTTATTTCCTCCTTAACCTTGATCAATACTCAGGTCCCTGGGTCCCAGGGGGAGTGAGGGGGGGGCTGGGACTTCCTTGGAACACAGTTGGGCACCAATTTAAACAAGTCCCAGAAGAATTCATTAGGAATTAGGCTGGGCAACTAAAATTTGATTGCTGCGGCGCCCAGGTGGCTCAGTTGGTTAAGCGTCTGACTTCAGCTCAAGTCATGATCTCAGGGTCCTGGGATGGAACCCTGCAACCGGCTCCTCTCTCAGCGGGGAGTCTGCTTCTCCCTCTTCCTCTCTGTCCCTCCCCCGTCCCCCGCCCCCGCTCATGCTCGCGTTCTCTCTCTCAAATACTTTTTTAAAAATAAATAAAATTTGATTGCCAAAGGCCGGTGGCAGCTGCTTCTCCTTGAACCTGGTGTTCCCACGGGGTCAAGGTGGATTCATTCCCCCACCCAGTCTTTAGTCTGCTTTCTGCCCTGCTTCATGGAATCCTCTCTAACGGGGTGAAATGCCTAGTTACAGTGCCAACGTTTTAGGTTCTCAAGTGGTCGCTATAGCCATTAATAACAATAACAGCGACATTCACAGCCCCCTGTCGGGTACCCTCGAGCTGCCCTGGGCGAGAGCCTAGGCCCTCATCCAAGGCCTGGGAAGACTCCCTCGAAGCATCTTCCGGGACCTCTCCCCAGGAGGGTCTGGACGTGCAGTCCCGCAGCCCGGGCCCGCCGGCCGGGACAGGCTAAATTGGGAGTGCGATTGCGGCAGGAATGCGGCGCGAAGGCACCTGATCTTGCGCGGCTGCCGGCTCTCCCTCTCCGCGCCCAGCCTGGGTCTGGGAACCTGGGTCTGCCCAGCCCACCCGGGAGGCACGGAGGGCGGGGAAGGAGTGCGCACAACCCGCGCGTACACACTCAATTACTTTTGACAGTTTTCTGAGCCGGGCTGGCAGGCGGCGCGGAGCCGGCAGCGCTCGACTTTCCCGCCGCTGGAGGGGCGGGGCAGCTCTGGCCCCGCCCCCGCCGTAGGCCCCGCCCCCGCAGGTTGATGGCAGCGGCAGCTGGGACTGCGGCGACGCCGGGCCCCGGAGAGCCGCAAGCAGCGGCCCGAGCGCGCAGAGGAACGCCCGGGCCCCAGACGCCGCGGACACCCGGAGAGGCAGTTCCGGCACCCTGACTCCCTCGGCCCCCAGCGCACCCCTAGCCCCCTCAACAGAGGAGTCGCAGAGTGAGCGCCCCTCGGCCCACTCAGGACCAGGTACCAACCCCCCCCCATCCCACGCCGCCACCGAAGCCACCGCAGCGGGCGGGGTCTCTCGAGGGGGCAGAGATCTGCGCCCCCTCCCCCGCGCCGCCAAATTCGGTCCCGGGCGGGGCGGACTTGGTGTCTATATTTGGCCGGACAGCGGCCCGCGCGCCTTGCACGGCCCCGACACCTCGTCTCCTAAGAACGCAGTGCCGGGGCAGGAGGCCGGAGGAGGGTGCGGGGAGGCCCGGGCCGCAGGCCTGGGGCCGCAGAAGCGGCGTGAAGGGCACAGGGATGCCCGGGGCTGGGGAGGGGCAGGAGTCAGTGGATAGGGCTTTGGAAAAGCTCGGTGAGTCCCCTGGGGAAGAGCATAGCACAGACCCTGGCTGAAGAAAAGGCACTTCACCCTCCCCACTCCTGCAAATCTGGCCCTCGCGGGGGGAGGGGGGCGGTGAGGACCCCACCCCAGGAGAGTGCAGCAGGAAAGGGGACCCATAGGAGAAGCGGGACCGAAGTATGGTAGGCAAAAGCCAGACCATGGTTAGGACCATGTGAAGAGAGGAGTGGAAAGAGGAGAGATCCACCTTACACTGCGTCCCCCAAGAGGATGGGAGGAAATTGATGAAAACAGTAGCAGGACAGACTAGGTTAGCTGGCAGGAGGAACTTCTCCTTGGCAAAATTTTAGAAAAAGACAAGAGCCCATCTGCCCGAACTATGTTAGAGATGCAGAGTTCGGGATCTTGGGGGGCTGCAGTCTTAGCCCCATAGCTGGCCTTGAGCCAAGATCCCAGGACCAAGGCCTCTGATTCTGGACAAGGTGTGGCTGGGAGAGAAACCATTTCCTGAAGAGATGCTCATCCAAGGCTGACAGCAGGAGGGCAGCCTGGCATTGAGGCTCCTCCCCAAACCACTTCAACTTCCAGGAAGCTTTCAGGCCCAGTCAAACTCTGCTGTTCCCTGCGTGGGTCTCAAAGGAGAAATTCTAGCCCCTTGAATTTTTAAGCAGCACTTTATAGGTGGCAAAGACCTTACCCTTTGCCATTCTTTCATCACCTGGAAGAAAGTTCCCTGTTCTAGGACCTGACTCGTAGCCAGATAAACCTTCTCACTTGCCACCCCCTCCCTGCTCTTCCTTCCTCCCACAGCTCACAGGACTAAGGACCAAAGGCACTTCTGGGCACTGAGATCCTCCATTTCTACCCACCGCCATGAGCCGGCGTGTGGTTCGGCGGAGCAAGTTCCGCCATGTGTTTGGGCAGGCGGCAAAGGCTGACCAGTCCTACGAGGACATCCGTGTGTCCAAGGTCACATGGGACAGCTCCTTCTGTGCCGTCAACCCCAAATTCCTGGCCATTATTGTGGAGGCTGGAGGTGGAGGTGCCTTCATTGTCCTGCCTCTGGCCAAGGTGAGGGATGAGGGGAAGAAAACAGGTGGGAAGACACTGGCTGTG